TTAATTTTTTCTCTTTATTTTTTTTTTTTTTTTTGTTTCCAAGCTTCAAGACGAACCGGCTCGTATAGGTCACACGAGAAAAACCCAACACAACATGTCCGACTTGACATCCTAAATTTTTCCATCAAATTCCAAACTATATATAACCATTTCAAATTTATAAGAGTAATGCTACGTGTATATAATTATTTACAAATTGATGATATTATATTATATTAAAATTTAACTGATTTTCTTCTTTTTTTTTCTCTCTCTCATCCAAACTGTTTTTTCTCTTTATCTGTACACCAATTTATAAATAATTATGTATGTTATTAACTATTTTCATTGACAATCTCGGCTACCTGTAATGATAATTCATCTGTCAAACTACCTATACAAAAGTAGAAAAATTCTTCATTGACTGCATTCTAGGAGATGAGATTGTACATCCTCGTGTCAATTGTACTTGTCTTAATTCCAAGAGTCATACTATGTGTATATAAATGTATATATAGGGGTTCACATAATGTGAGTGGGGTGGGCCCCTTGCTACAGTATTGTGGATCCCATCCACACTCACATTATGTGAACCTCTATGTGTACATCTATGTACACATGGATTAATCCTAATTTCAATTCCTAACCCTCTATGAAACACGTCACTTAATGATATACAAATTCAGAATTAAATATTTTTTTTTAAAAAAATGTATATGTCCTGGAATCCTTAATTATTTTTGTAAGACTTGATGCAATTGATTATGTTGATCGAGTCAACTGTGTTGAAATTTGATGAATAATATTACTTTTGTTTTTTTGGTAAGGAGTGAGCCTCTAGAAGAATTCTAAGTTAAAGCCCTTTAGTCTATCAATAAATTTGTGTTTTATTAAATACAACAATCATAATGATTGAGACTAGATGACTATTTACATAATAACTATCATAAATTATTCATAAATACTATCATATTTACAACACTTTTCCTTGAATGACTATTTACATAATAACTATATCATTGAAATCTTGTTTAATAAAAACATGATGGGACAAAAAGCAAACAAATGAAAAAAGAGTACAAATGATTTTGAGTAATAAAATATTGTCTCCTTAAAACCTTGTCAAGAAAATTTAGCAGGACAAAACATGATCGAATGAAAAAGAATACAGCTACTCCCACTTATTTCAATTATTATATCAAGTGATCCATGTCTTATATGTTAATTTTTTCCATATTGATATATTGTACGTCAATGTCTTCTAATAACACCGTATTCATACAAAATATTTATCAACTTTTAATGATCGTGATAACACGATAATTCGAAAAATAACTCTTGTTAATTTTTCCTAGAGTCTTATACATATTAGAGTATTATTTTGAGGGTAATTAATGTCTTTTAGGTTATGGACATACATTACACAAAGAATATGCATTATTAAAACCTTATTAGGGAAAATCCTGTAGAAAAAATTTTAATAAAGGAAAAAAAGTACATTATTCATTTGAATAAGCTACAAAAGTTGTCTCATTAAAAATTTTACTAGGAAAATTCAATGAGACAAAATCTCGATCAAGGAAAAAAGAATACATCGCTTATTTACTCATCGCGTGATAATATCACTTGAATTATGCTTCAGACATATTAAATCCTCCAAGAATAGTATTAAATTTATATAAGATAAGTTGACTATAATCAAATTTATTATATGCATATTAAATTCCATGCATTGTCCCGCTAACGAAGTAGAAATTTATGATTACATCCACCACATGATAACTTATCTATTTATTTAGGTTTTCACGAAATTCATTGTAAAGAGTTGTACATTTCATATTATGATTTTACTTTTTTCATTTTGTATAAGTATACACCTTAAGGTGTTCAAATTATAGATCCATAAATTTCAGGTTTATTTAGTAAGGTCAATTTTACTTTGATAGCGCCTGAAACTTCAGATTTCA